ACCAGGAAAAAACCCCAACTCCAAAAACCCCCCCACAAAACAACGCCCCCCCACCCCCCCAAAAAAAACCAAAACCAAAAAACCCCAAAACCAGAAAACAAACCAAAAAACCCACATACACACACACACAAAAGAAACCCAAAGATCTTGCTTCCCCCTGCCCCCCAGCTTGAAAGTTATACTATTTGATTTTATTCCCCTGAATGCCTGAAATGGCAATTTCCTTTAGAGCATACACATGAACAGCATGAAAGTGTGCTTAACTGGAATGAATTATATTGATACTTAAATATTTCTTGAAGGCAAGAGACAGAAGTAATAGAAACAATCTGAAGATATCATAGATATAACTTAGAAAACATATATAAACTTTCAACTTTTAACTTTGTATGTAGAAGGAAGTTAGTGTGATATTGTTCATTACCAGAATAATATTAATAATATAACCCAGAAAAATATTTAAAAAATCAATATATTCATGGGGCAGGGAAGAGAGAAACATGTATCAACAGAAGCCTCAACTCACTTTCCTACAGGTCACAATGTCACTAAGTCTCTGAAAAGAGTTTTTGAGGTTCAAGTAAGTATTTCAAGTAGGGTTGTAGTATATCCATGTGGTAGTTTGTACTGCAGATTGCAACTAGTTATAGGCTATGTCATGTACAGATTATGCCACAATAGGCTCTTTTCAATGTTATACTTAAAATACACAGGAAATGAAAAGCAATTGATTAGCAAACAGAACAGGTTGCCTAACCTCCAGCAGACATTTGGGTTGGCACTGTAACTGTTCTCCCACCACACACTGCAGAGCTGACCCATCACCTTTAGTTGCCAAGTCAGTCCTCCCTGCCCAGTCCTCTACCAAGGAGCGATCCTGGGGAGCGCTACCTCAGCGTTCCCTCTGGCAACGCTATCTTTATACATGCTTTGTGGCTCTATCCCAGAATTAGACAAAATGGCATAGCTGCCAACACAAGACATAATGTACCCAGTATTATTATGCTAGAAATTCAGCTCCAAACAGTTGGTTATCACTAGGTTAAATAAATGCATCAGGTTTTTAAGCAACACAGTTATGCTTTTGGGGTGGGAAAAAAACAAATACAAAAGGCAGATATGAGTTATGCTGGGGGTACTACAAAGTCCTTAGCTTTAAATAATTTATTTAAGGTTAAAACAAAGTTCATTAAAAATAAAACCAGCAAAAATAAAACAAGACTCGGCTAATTTAAAATGTAAGAGAATTTCAATTAATAATTATTCTTAATTTTAAAACCTATACTAATGCAGCTTACTATGAAAACTTCTCAGTTAAAAAAAAAAAAAATTTCTTCAGTGGGAAAATGCAGTACCACTTATAGTATCCTTACAAAAGAGCTTTTAGAATAAAGAGAAATTAATGTTCTTAACATCTTAATGGGAAGTCATATAAGCACTACTATGATTTGAACTATCTGTAAGTAGTAATATATCTTGTTTTCATTTGAGCTTTACAGAGGAAATATATCAGTTACAGCTCCTCAGAGAGCATAAAGGCCATCTTTGACTGAAAAGACGTTCCATACTGTTCATCCCAGACAGAGTTAACAGCAGGCCACAGAAAGTCAGGCACTCATCGTGACTGGGCAACAACAGCAAAGTAAACTGCAAAGGATACTATCCCTAATTTTGAGACACGGCCACTATGAACTCACTCAAGTATTAGTGAATTACTTGTAACAGAGCATGTATGATTACTCTATATTACACATATACAGCTATTTTGTAGAAGCATGTAACAAGAAGAATGATTTGCAATGTTTTTTTCTTATCCACTGAAAAAAAAAATCAATTTTTTTTCATTCTTAGCCTGAAACATTTTCTATTAGTTGTTTTTCTCCTTCCTCATTTAATCTGATTTCATAATAAGTGTATAGAAATATTCAGAAATATGACTGCACAGGGAATTGAAATAACATAGGAAGGCAAGAAACAACAGGCATAGAAAATCCCAGATGTTAGGACCAGAATCAAAAGTAGCTTTAAAATAAACATTGGACTCTGAGGAAAACAAAAAAGGATAGGAGAATCACTGTGGCTGGCATGTCACACAACTTAATAAAAATCAAATAATATATTTAGCTATCTGCAGTGTATGAGGAATAAATCAGGATACTAAATGCAAGTCAAACTACAAAAAGATAACAGAAAAATGATAATTTAAAACATCAATTTATAAATATCTTTTTTTTCTATACAGCCACAGCAAAAACTCCTTGCAAGCATCTCCTTCCCAAAGGAACAGTATTCATGGCAGACATCTTTCACCACTGTTGCTATAGCTTTCCATGTCTATTGTTAGTAAATTCTTTAATAAATAAGAGCTGCAGGAGAAGAGATGGAGACAGCAAATGCAATAGGATCTGTACGTTCAGTACTCGGATTACACAACAATGAAGACATACACAGTTCATTTCTACACTTTTTGTATTGTAATACACTAATCTTCTTGAAAACGGCAACGTTTTTGTTTTGCTTCTGGCTATGTTAAGAAAACTGAACCCCTCTTTCCTACAAGGAATGCCTGTCATTACATATGTCACTTGTCCAAAGATATGCTGCCACAATGCCTTTGGAAGGCAGTTCTGGTTGCAATTTCAGCTGTAGAAAACAAAATCATTTGCACACAGATCTCTAAGTTTAAAGAGCAAGGATAAAGTATTGAGGGCTGGATCATACTGCTCTCCTCAAACATTGATGAACTTAACAACAGCACAACGAGAGATATTTACAACCTGAGATTACAAAAATCAAACAATCCGGAGCTCAACAATCTTAATTATTTACAGAATACAAAGGTGATACTGTGCATACTTTTACTAGACAACAGGTACATAAAGGGATACCAAAAACAACAGGCAAGGATGTACCTTTAACAACTCTATACCTGTTGTAGATTCTGGAGGCATATGTGGAAATAGGCAATGGGGAAGGAAATCAGTCTGGCCACTTTCCTACTGCCACTGCCAGAGAAAGAATAGTGGATTAGCTGGATGGGCCACTAGACTAAGCCTGCAGGGCATTTCTTACATTTTTAGTTTGTGGCATGATATAATTAAGATGTAAAGTCCTTGATAGCTGGGATCAGGGAAGATCTTCATGTCGGATTCGGGCTGATTTCCTGAAATGTAATCTACAGCTGAGGCAAATGGCTAGAAATAAAACAAGCAGTACTGTCTGAGGAAATGTTTCTCTGAAACAAATGCAAAGTGAAGTGTGTTCACATTTAAATATGTTTTCCTATTTTTTATTATACAGGCAGCGATTAACATTAAAAAAACATAAGCGATAGGGGAAATTCATAAACAAAGTTCAACAGCCTGGGAATAAGAAAAAGAATCAAGGAGCTTACCCAGCATTTTAGATCCACAAGATTGAAAAACAACCTAACCAGATACCATAAACTTAATACAGAAGATATCTGACGCATGCTGCAACACAAAACCACGCTGCATTTTTCTCACAACTTTATTTTCCCTAAAAAGTGAGATGGTGAGCAAATTTGGCTATTCTTTAAGTTGAGTTAATTGGCTTAGTAATAAAATGCTGCAATCCAGGCTCTACTACATCTTATCAACAGTAACTACATCTACTGAAAAGCACAGACTTCATCATTCTTGCCAAAAAAAAAAAAAAAAAAAAAAAAAAAAAAGAAATAGAGATTATTAGAATTTATGTCTCAGCTTGAAAAGGGAAGATACTCAAGTACTCTATTGCAAGCTCAGTTTCATCCATCTTTATTTGATGGGATCAGCTAATTTTGACATCGTATCAACATACGGCCCAGTGAAGACTGAAAAATCTCCCCAGAAAGCTACGTAAAACTTGTACAGATAGACTGCACTAAGTTTAGAACCTTTAGATCGATGAATGCCAAGGTCCTCCAAATACATCTACAAACACTGAAATAATAATTTGGACACAGCACACTGATATCTCAAGCTGGATCAATTTCTGAGCATTTCTATGTAATATATCTAATGGAGCATTA